CCCTGATTTATAGTTGGAGAGTTTTATAAAAGAAATGTATTTATGACGTACATCCATCATAAGTTTAAGAAGATTATGTAAGCAAACAGTATGATAATTCGTTTAATTTCTACGTAAATCCCGGCTCACGGGGATTGGCTCAGGTGTTTTGGTTTCTGTAATTTGCAATTCGTAAGTCTTGGAACTTAATTTAATTAAACGTTGTAGCACAGATAATATAATATTACAGTTGTAGTAATCGTGACTTATAATGATTATTACATTTAATTAAAATAAGAAATGATAGCTTGCATCTTCAGCACACGTAATAGTGGTGGCCCAATGGTCAAAATTCGAAAATAATAAAAAATATCTTTAATAAACACGTGTATACATGGTAGTACGTGTAATTTTTTTTATACTGATTTAATGTATTTTCAACACAAGATTAAAAAAAGATTAGTATTCTGCACTCCTCTATATAAACGAAATGTGTGCAAAATGTGCAACGGACGTGCAATTTTCGTAAAAAGGTATACAAAGTTTTTGCTACATATATTAATATATAGATACTTTTTATAAGACTCAAAATAAATTTATAGTCAAGTATGTTGCACGTATTGGTCGGTACAGTTATCACCAGGTGGCCTATCAGCTGTTCGCCTGTCCAATAAAAAGCTTTATCGAGTAATCAGCAACAGTTTTACAATACATACTACATTATATCAACAAACTAGCTTTACAAAAACACATTCACTTGGTTTTCTAGTCAGTTTAAAATTGAGAAAATTTTATCTAAAAAATATTAAAACAAAATAACTTAACCTACGTGGTCTGGTTTGGTCATTTACGCAAGTCGAAATTAGTTCAGCAATATTTAGTCGAATTTTCAGTTTAAATTACTAAACTGTTCATTTACTTAAGTTAACTTTGCTATTTGGCAGTTTGTTCGCGCAAAAAAAAAGCTTACTATAAAATTCTTCTTTGAAGAATTTGTTAACGATTAATAATGTTTTTATAGCACTAAAAAACTTTTAACAAACTGAATCGTTTTATAGCACTGTTATAAATCTGCAGAAAAAAGATATTATCTTTGATTACATTAATAACATTAATAATGAGTGCGTAGCGACTTCTATGTTGATTATCGCATGCCTCTTACTTGTTATACTGTAATTATGTATATAAAAAAAAACATCTATTAAAAAAAGCAACACACAAGTTTCTTGCTCATTCTTCTTGTGATGAATCTGCATTCCGAATGAGTGGTAGAATTTTGATTCTCATATGACTATTCAAAAGTGCTTGTAATGAGTTTATTTGAATAAAGATTATTTCTATTTCTATTTCAATTTCTAATAACGGCCTCGATACTCTAGCGGTTTAGCACACCGCTTTACTTCCGTTAGTTGGGGATTCGATTCCTCGTATGGCGCAAACATTTGTATTTGTATGAGTATGATTGTTTGTATCGGTCTGGGTGTTTTCTATGTAGATTATGTATGTATTTATAAACAAATAAAGTATTTATATCAGTTGTCTTGTACATAACACAAGCTCCAGTTACTTATTTAAATCCAGAGTTACTTATTTAAGTTTACTTGAATAAATATTATTTCTATGTCTATTTCTGACGAGATTTCGCAGAGCAAACAAATCCAACATGACAATGGCTTCATCTACGGCTGTCTCACAGATTAATTAGATTTATTATAATATTGTTTACCGGCCCTGGAAACTTGTTCGAAATATTTCAATTGACACTCGAAGTTTTCATTTATTTCAGAACTCTAAGTGATAAGTTTACAAGATAATTAGGATCCGGATATTAAACGAGTTCGAATTTTAACACAAATAATTGTGTGGTAAATAAAGGTTTTACCTCCCTCAACGTTACTACAACCAACTTGTTACCACGGCTAATGCAACCTACTCGCAACCAGTTTAACTAAATTAGTAATGTGATTTAGAAGTTTAATAATTCCTTTAGTAAGTACACTATTGGTTAAATCATATTTTTATCGCTCTCCCTACAGTTCAGTTCGGCTGGTTGAGTTTTTTCTCGACTGAAGTAGAAGAATTGGCAATAAACTCAATTTGCAGACACATTTTATGTTATAGAATAGAATAGAAAATCATTTATTCAAATAAACTTAATTTAAGCACTTTTGAATAGTCATAACAATTTGTTATTTATCTACCACTCGTTCGGAAAGCTGTCTCATCACAAGAAGAAAGAGCAAGAAACTTGTGTGTTGCTCTTTTAAATAATCCTTGTAAGTTTACATTTACAAGTCGAAACGTGTGAATACAAACTACCAACAAGCACTAATTTTTGGGTCAAATATAAATATGCAATAATATTAAATCAGTCATTAATCAAATAAATGTTATTCTTTTAATCAGTATAATGTAATAAACATGTAAAATTCAAATTATTTTCTTTATTAATACGAATGTTTGTGAGAATGGATGGATAGATGGATGTTTGTTACTGTTTTATGCAAAAACTACTGAACGGATTTTGATGAATCTATACAGTAATAGCTTATATTTCAGAATTACATATTCTATAAATTTCACCTGAGTAAAACTGCGGGTATAGCTAGTAAAAGTATATATTATTCAATTGTTCTACAAAAGTTGCCTACATAAATAACCTCTTTACGCAAAATTCTATCCGAAGAAATATTGAATAGAATGACAAACGAAGTCAAATATTTGAAGGTTGAAACCGCGCCTGAATACCAGGAGCCCATAACGCGGCGAGAGGTTTGCACTCTCACCCTGCTGTGCCCTCCCTAACAGAAAAGGACAACTGCCGGAAATCAACTGCGTTAGAAAAGGACAGCAGACATTGGAACGGGATAGAGACATTCAATTGAAAATTGAAATGCGCAACTCGGGATCTGTTTCAATCAGCTGGCAGCTGAACGGTACGAGACAAAAATGAGTTCTGTTTCAGGAGAATTATATGTGTAAATCCATAGAGAACGGTTTGTTCGCTTCTTTAAATGAAGATTGGATGTTGTTTTATTTGATATATAACTACCTGGCTTTTCTCTATTATTAAAAAATTTATTCAAACAAGACAATATATATATTCGATGTAGACGAATAGTTATGTTTCTATTTAATTAAAGAGTTTATAGAAAATTTAAACCAGAAATTACAATACCATCCTGATAAATGAAATTACCGTAATTTCATTTATTTTTTGCCACATACATCCACATTGTGGTTACACCTTAGAGCAATGGTATTTTCGAACCGCTACGATATTGAAAGCTTCATGGTAAAAGCTTATTCCTCTTTAAAACGCCTACGACGTATTTACATTTTTGCCCTGGCGTACCGTGCTTATGGCAGGCGGTATCACTTACTAACAGGTGAACCACAAGGTCATTTATCCCTATGCAAAAAGAATAGATGGCGCCGTATCGAAAGTAGACGGCACTATTGTTTCATTTTGTTAATCTCCATGAAATTATTAATTATAATTAAATTATATATTTTTTTAATATTTACTTTATATAAAATATTCTTTCATATTCATATTTTCATACAAATACAACATCACTGGTTATGTTATTTATTTAATATCAGAGGGCTCTGTGGTAGTCCAGAGTTTAATGTCGTTACACAACCCTTTATTAACTATACGTTGACCCTAATGCAACAACACGTTCTTGTGGGGTCAAGTGAAATACAAAATTCATCGGGGTGCATACATATAATTTATAATTTGAGCTTGTGTTGTATAATATTTACTTATATTATTATAATTAATATTGTATACTAGCTGCACCGATATTGTCCTGTCTTACTTAAAAAAATCCGCGGTACTTTCTTAATTTTTTATTTTTGTCATTATAACTTTATGACGATAACAAACACAACAAAAAAAGAATTTGCGAAATCAGTCCAGCCGTTCATGCGTGACGCCGTGACAAAGGGAAATAGGGATTTATTTTTATGTATATAGATAATTAATAAAAAAATATACGCTTATTTTAATATTAGACTTTGAACTATTAACGCACAAAATATGAAAACAATTGTATAAAGACTAAAAATTCTAACTATATCTTTATTAGGTATGTGAATGTTCAGTGATTGAGTTCATTCAACAAAAACAATAACCCTGATCGTCAATTACTTGCGTTTATATGAAGATACTGTGAGAATAGTTTGCCGAGATGAGTATCGAGCTACTTTAAATATTATCAACGAACTAAAACATGTGAAGTAAGACAAATATGTCTGCCCATAATTTTATTTCTTTTCCATGTACCCGTGATCATGGTGGTAATAAAGGGAATTATAAGTAACAGGCTAAATATATAGATATACTCGATAATAATAATTCAGAAATTTTTCTTAATTTTCATAAAAAAATGACCGCGTCAAATTAAATTTAAAAAAAATTTGACGCCAACATGATTACGTTCTATAGTTTTTTTTTTTTGTTTTTGTTTATCCTTTAAAGGAAAGGCAAAATGAACTGCGCCCATACAGCCATGTCTGGATGTTTTTTAATGTTCTTTATCTATCGTAATTAAAAACAAGTGACATGGTAATTGACAAGTGACATTTGATTGACAGGTGTCTCTTGATTGCTGAAATTAATTTGTATGACTGACCTAACTTAATTGTATATTGACCAATTAGAATTAAATATTTAAATTTTGATTCAAATTCAATACATTCATATTGCAAGTCTTGTAATGAATCGTTATTTATACCACAAAATGATCGCTATATTCGAAATGTAATTAATAAATGTTGTTTCCTAATTTAAAAACCATAAAACATCATAAAATTTTCGTTCATTTATGCAACTGGCTATTGCGGTTGCAGAAACAGAAAAAGAAAAAAGCCGTGTTTTGTTTTCATTGATTCCCGCTCAAGCGTCACGGATTCGGTGAAAGCGTTAACTTGAAATCGCGTTGCGTCAACTAAATTTAAGTTATTCCGATCAGTTGACGATTGATTGTGACAATGATGGGATTGTATTCCAGTGGAGCCCTGGGCGGAGTGGAAGTGCTGGACGGAGGGCTGGTCGGCGGCGAGCTGACGGCGCACGTGTTGAGCGCGCAGGCGGCAGCCGCTCATGCAGCCGCCGCCGCCCACCAGCAGCAACAGATGGCTGTACAACAGATTAGTAAGTCTCTACTTTTTTTTTATTTATTGGAGGGAAAATGTTAAAATATAATTAATTTTGTTATTGTAAAACATGAAATTATAAAGTTTTTAAACTTTGTTCAGTTAACAATATACTGTGGATATAATTTAAAAGTTAACAACAATCAATGGACAACTACAGTGATACCTATAAAATTTAATCTCCATTTTGTATTTAATATCTTGATGTTTAGTTGTAAATTTAATGTGAGTCTTATTCACATTAAATTTTATTAATTAATATTGAGTACAGACTCACATTAAATTTTATTAATAAATATAATTGCTCAATAGAAAAAGAGCAAAGTTTCTTGTCCTTTATGCCTGAATATATATGAGTGGTAGGCTAAACAAAATGGCTACACAAGTTTAAAAAATAAATTTATTGGAATAAAAATTTTCTAATCTATTGTTTAACTTTTTCATTTTATTGAAATATTTTATATGATAGCCTTTCTTGATTGATAAATAAGCAAAAGTTTGAATTTTTTTTCCTAACTTTGTGTGTTGGAAAGATGGAATTCTCAGCTTTTTTATATCAACAATATCTGCATAGTTTGGAAGCAAATGGTGATAGGATTCTAGGTTTGATAAAATGAAATTTTATTACATAAATTGTGGTTAATAAATTGCTTGTGATTTTTTTAAAAACTATTATTTGTTTTTCATATATTTAGTAGTTTTTGTAAAAGAAAACATTGCTTTGAGTATGTAATATTATCTGTGCTTTGACTCATTCTTATTAATTCACACAGTGCCATCTAGACCCAAGTTAAGCTAGCTAAAGCTTGTATTATGTGTATTAGACAACTGATACAAATACATATATTTTTTGTAAGTACATATTGTACATAGAAAACACCCAGACTGACAAACAATCATACTCATGAATGCAAATTTAAAATATTAAGTCATTTATGGGAATAAACACAATAGATCTATACAGGTCAGAGTGTTACAGGTCACATAGCACTGGATAGCCAAAACTCCAAAAATAAATTAAACAAAAATGGGAATTAATATTGTCCTATCTCTCTATAAGTAACTATACTAACTGTAATAATAAAGATAAAGAAGCCTTTATTTCTGTACATACATTTTTTTTTTTTACATGCCTGTTCATTCATATTACTATATTATACTATAAATTTATTATTATTATATCTATTTTTTACTATTATTGTTTGTTAAGTAGTTTAATTTTTTTTTTTCTAATGTTTAATTATTAATTCCATTTTCTATATTATATCCCGCAGTAACTGTAATAATAATAATAGTAAAAGCCTTAATTTACTGTTAACATTACAAATTTACAGCAGTAACTGTGGTCCTGTTAATCTACAATTTTTTTTTATACTAACTGTACTATACATCAAATGATTTAAGAATCTAACTGTGAGATCAATATCAGGGAAATCTATTAAGTAGTGTTTATTCTAAACATTTCGACTTGTAAATGTAAACTTACAAGGATTATTTAAAAGAGCAACACACAAGTTTCTTGCTCTTTCTTCTTGTGATGAGACAGCTTTCTGAACGAGTGGTAGATTAAAAAACAAATTGTTATGACTATTCAAAAGTGCTTAAATTAAGTTTATTTGAATAAATGATTTTCTATTCTATTCTATTCTAAACAAATGTGGGGGAATATGTGAGAAAATTATTCATACAATAATCTATACTCTATACATATAAATAAAATTGTAGTGTCTGTTAGTAATATTGAAATAAACATTTTTTACTACATGCATATGAATATAAATATGCTACATACGCCAAAATAACATTTTTACAATGTTTGTCTGTCTGTCTGTTTGTTCCGGCTAATCTCTGAAATGACTGGACCGATTTTGAAGGGACATTTTTTGGCAGGTAGGTAGCTGAAGTAATAAGGAGTGACTTAGGCTACTTTTATTTTAGATTTTATGTTTATTTTAATAAAAGAAAGTTTCATTGCACACAGACAAAGCCTCTGTTAATAGCTAGTATATATCTATAATCTGTTTGCTAACAAGCATAGGCCTCTAAGTGTTTGCAGTGATAATAATAGTAATCTCAGGAGAATTTACAAAGCACCACCCAAACTAGCTAAAGCTTGTATTATGTGTACTAGACAACTGATACAAATACATACATATATATAATATTAGTATTTATCTATATTTGTTTTTCTTTATATATTAATTATTAAAGTACACCGTATTATCTCTGGCCATCAATGCGACTGTTGACTGGTAGAGAATGCCATCAGGCATTAAATCCAACATACAGTTTTGTGTGCAAAAGAATAAATAAATACATAGATTTTCTTTGTAAATACATATTGTACATAGAAAACACCCAGACCGATACAAACAATCATACTCATGAATACAAATGTTTGTGATTTGCGAGGAGTACTAAAGGAAGAGTGTTGAGTGTTGACAAAAATATTACAAGTGTAGGCACATTATTATATCTTCACCCCAATTAATTGTGTGCGAGGACAGCTCAATATTATATCAGATTATCATCCCACAGAGGCGTCCCCGTCGTCGGGGCGCTCCACCCCGGTGGCGGCACCTGCCATCGCGGCCGCATCGGGCACCACCTCGCCGTCTCCGAGCAAGCTGTTCGTGGGCGGGCTCAGTTGGCAGACCAGCTCGGAGAAGCTGAGGGAATACTTCGCGATGTTTGGTCCCGTCACGGATGTGCTGATCATGAAGGATCCTGTGACGCAGGTGAGGGGATGAGGAATTGTTTTATGGATGATAATGGAATGGTGCACCCGCCTGCGCTGACGGTTTACGGTAGCACCAGTGGAGGATGATAAGATGAGCAGGATAGGTCAGTGGGCACATAATGTTAAATTTACCAAGAATTTATCATGATGGTTTCCAGGGGTAACTGCGTGGAGGTCAACCTGAGATAATAAGATCATCAGTCCACATTACTAACAATCCCATTTTCCCCAGGGTACTATTTTTTTTATGGATGATAATGTAATGGTGCACCCGCCTGCGCTAACGGTTTACACTGGCGCGCGCTGACGGTTGGTTGGCAGCACCAGTGGTTCACACGCGGTTCCCCCTGGAAACCATGGTAAAAATTTCTTGGTAAATTTCTCACGATGTGCTAACTGACCTGACCACATGCTCATTTTATCATCCTCCACTGGTGCCCCACCTGCGTAAACCGTTAGTGCAGGCGAGTGCACCATTCCATTATCACCATTAAAAAAAAACGATTACCATGAGATGGTTTTGCTTTTTAAAGTGATGATACCTCCATACAACTTTTATCTCCCCTTTGTGTACCAAATTTCATTTAAATCTGTTCAGTAGTTTTATTGTGAAAGACAGATAACCAGAATTACTTTCGCATTTGTAATGTTAGTAAGTATTTATAAACAATGTGTAGGTGACACATTAATATCCACTGTTTTCTACTACTGCAAGACTATCGTGTATTTTTTTTACTTTTTACACCTTCCCTGTTAATGGTAACACCCTAAACCACGTCAATAATCTTTGCAAGTGTTTTAACGACGTTTTTTTGAGACAGATAGGCAAGTGAAGCGAGGATGTCGCGTATGGTCAGTGTATATACATTATGGTTTATAGGTCTATGAACTTGTAGGTAGATGTAAATGTGCAAGCAGCGGCGCTCCGGTGTCATAGGCATAGTTTGTATTAATCAGGTTAAGCAAGCTTTTAGTGTGGCCACTTTTTGGATGGGTGACCGTGTAATATTTTTTTTTATTGTAATTGTAGTGGTTAATTTAAATATCTTAACTAACTGTTTATTTAACGGTTTCTGGAATGTTTATTAGTATTAAAACTAAGCTAGTTTTACAGTTTCCTAATATTTATTATTTATTTAGGTGATTACATATATAGACAATATTAAATGAAGAAATTGCTATTTAGTATATTATGTATGTATTAACAAAAACTATATATCTATGTATTGTATGTAAGAATTGCAATGCAAGTAGCAATGGGAAGTGCACATAATTCATAGGACAGATGGCCGTTGAGTCAGTAAAGTCCTCGAGTGGTGACTGCGGTCCGGAAGACGCAGCGTGGGAAGGCCTCCAGCAACGTGGACCGACGATCTGGTCAAGATCGCTGGAAGGCATTGGATGCGAGCAGCGCAGGACCGATTGTCGTGGAGATCTTTGGGGGAGGCCTTTGTCCAGCAGTGGACGTCTTCCGGGCCGAGATGATGATGATATATATTTTTATAATAATAATAATCTTCCTTCCATCTAGACCCAAGTTCAGCTAGCTAAAGCTTCTGTTACGGGTAGTAGACAACTGATACAAATACATAGATTTTTTTCGTATATATGTACATAATATATATAGAAAACACTCAGACCGATACAAACTATAAAACTCATGATTACAAATGTAAATGTTTGTGACGTGTGAGGAATCGAACCCGCGACCATCGGAAGTAAGGCGGTGTGTTCATCCGCTAGACCACCGAGACCGTCGATGTATTTATATTAATTATTAATATTAATTTAGATTAAATATTATGTAATACCCATAACACAGTTTAGGTTTATAGTTACGTTTAGTCTATGACACCACACGCTGTTCGCACACTATAGTTTGGTCTATGGTTGGAATAAAGTATTTATGGTACATTAAAATTGGTATAGACAATATTGGCATGCTAGAATCACTAACATATAGAAATTATTCGGTATTAGATAGAATGTTAAATCCAATTCTCTATAATCTATGGTAGGTAGCTCAAAACTATTAGGTTAGTGTTGCCATGTTAAAATAACCATTTTAGGAATTCTAACCTTATAGACATAGAGAATAGTAGCTAAAATTGTAGATTTTTTTTAATACCACTACTAGTTAGTAAGGTTTCTGTATTTTTTGTATATTGCAACACTGCTAAAAAGAATGAGCAAGTAATTAAGCTGTATGTCCTATAGATCTATGATATAGCAATACATATCTATTTTCATCAAGAAACAATAATTGTCTATGGCCTATGCGTCTCTTATAGACAATTTATAGCATGATGGTCCGTGAACAGCTCTTTCCGTGGCTGCATAAACCAATGCGAGAGCGGCATGGCCTACCACAGGCCCGACAAGGGAAACTACTGGCAGTAGTCTGTACTGAGCCGCCTAGGTGACGCTTCCGTCTCTTGTCAGCAAGTCTTTGAAGCCAGGCATCATAAAAACTTATAATCCATGTGAATTATTGTATTGTATTGAAATTTTAATCAAAATTCTGTTGTTTTAAATATGTTTAAGTACATGTTAATGATTTTCTATCTTTTTAGCGATCTTAAATAGATAAGGACGAAACATTCATTACTGAATATGTTTAAAACAAAGTAATTCAATTTAGTTTCGTGCCAGTTCTTCTCAATTGGATCTATATACTGAACTGGACGGTAGGGAAAAATTATAATGTAAAAACTTAACGTTCATAAGCGGCTAAAATGTACTACATGAATAAATGATTTTTGAATTTGAATTAGATATCACGTTAACCTAGAAGACTAAAAGATCATAAATATGATTTTTGAAATTAAAAAAAAAATGTATTTATATAGGTGTCTATGTCTAACATTAAATGAAAATCCGGTGCATGAACAACTATTGCCATGCACGCATTGAATACCTAACTAATGTATTTTAATTTTAACGTATATTAAAACGTATGCTTTTAATTAAATAATTCGTTGGTTTTCTATGACACAAGGGGGTCGACAGAATATTTAAACCTGTAAAGGGGTCGCGAAATCAAAAGGATTGAAAAACACTGGTCATAAAAACTTACAAGTCAACAGCATTTCAAAATATAATGTAAAAAAATAACGTTCATAAGCGGCTAAAATGTCCTACTTTTATAAATGATTTTTTAATTTTGAATTTTGTTAGAAACAGGCTTGGTTTATTTTTTGATAAGTTTCCAAAATGTGAAAAAGTAGTAATAAAAGCTTATTTAGTTACCAATATTTGTATGGATATATAATTATCATTATTATAGTATAAAACAAGGTCGCTGTCGCTGTCTGTCCTTATGTATGCTTAAATATTTAAAACTACCCAACGGATTTTGAAGCGGTTTTTTTAATAGATAGTGATTCTAGAGGAAGGTTTATATACATAATACATGTACACCCGAGCGAAGCCGGGGGGACGAGTAGCTAGTTTATTTATTTATAAACAATAGTGTAAATTATGTGATTAACTGATTATACTTAATTTAGCTACAGTTAGTCTCGGCATGGCATGAGCCAATTTGTAGGGATGTTTAAAAAAAATATAGTGAATAAACCAAAATAAATTTATCCATATAGAGGCCGTTCAAGTATTACGTAAGCACTATGGGGGCTGGGGTGTTTTTACTTTGCTTATTTTAGATGACATGGGGGTGGGGGAGTCTAGATGATGATTACGTTATCGGTAGGTATTTACTTTTTTACACGAGTGGCAACCCTCACATTGTTTTTGCTAAAAAAACGATACATTAATTGAAAAATGTTTACGTAAGTATGGGGGGAGGGGGTAAGAGTTTTGCTGACAAGGGGGATGAGGGGGGGGGTAAATAATTGTAATAAATCTGCTTACGTAATACTTGAACGGTCCCATAGGTCTATTGTAGAGTCACTTTTGATGAGTCAATTTATCATCAGTGGAGTCTAGTATGAAAGTTACTCGAATATAAAAAAGGTTGGGTAGCCCTGTCCCAAACCATAATAATAAATTAAAACGATTAAATAAAGCGGTGGCCGCGCGCAGAGGTCGCGCGGCTTCGGCTTCATCACATTCCAGGAGGCCGCCTCCGTGGACAAGGTGCTGGCCGTGCCGGTCCACACGCTCGACGGGAAGCGCATCGACCCCAAGCACGCCACCCCCAAGTCGGCCCCCCGCCCCGCCAAAACGAAGAAGATCTTCGTGGGGGGCGTCGGCCAGGACACCTCCGCCGAGGAGGTCCGCGCCTACTTCTCGCAGTTCGGCCTCGTCGAGGACGCCGTGATGCTGATGGACCAGCAGACGAAGCGGCACAGGGGATTCGGATTCGTGACCTTCCACTCGGAGGAGGCCGTCGAGCGCGTATGTGATATTCACTTCCATACGATTAAGAATAAGAAGGTGGAGTGTAAGCGCGCGCAGCCCAAGGAGGCCGTGGCGGCGGCGCCGCTCGCGCTCGGCAAGAGGCTCGTGCTGCGGCCCGGGCGCGGGCTCGTGTACGCGGCGGGGGTCGGCGGGGGGGTCGGGGGGGTCGCGGGGGTGGGCGGCGTGGGGGGCGTGCCCGCGGTGGGGGCCCACGCGTACCGCTACGCGCCGTACGCGCTGCCGGCCGCCACCGCCGCCGCCGCGCTGGTGGCGCCCCCCACGCCGGCCCCCGCCCCCGCCCTGCCCCAGTTCGGGGCGGCGTACTCGCTCGCGGGGGTCGACATGTCCTCCTTCCAGGGCGTCGACTGGGGCGCGATGTACAGCCTGCCCATGTACATCTAAGCGCTGACGCGATATCGAATGGATAACCCCACCCGCCTACAGAGGTTAGGTTCAGCTATGATTTCGTACGATGGTTCCTATATAATTTTTTTCGTGTAGGGTCTTATCTCGCCCGTTCGGCCACCGGAGGATGCAGTATTCTTAAGATAAGTCGGCTCACTCGTTAGGTTAAGTCGATTCGTATGAGCAATACGCGGCGCGCGAGCGTGTTTTTTGGAAAATAAATTTAAGATGATCTCAGATTGTTTAGTTTGTGAGATGGAAAGTGTTGGATTTGTGTAGCATAGTGCACGTAAATGGCAATATATTAACTTATTTATCTAAGATCATACGGCTCTGTATTTTTTATATAGTAAGTGACATTGCGGCAACGGACGGCCGGTGATGCGCCATACTCCCCCACTCATTTGTGCCATCATTTCCCATCGAATCAGGAATCGGCGTGCATTTGCGACGATATAAACAATGCTCTCTCGTCTTGCCAATAAGGTCGCATTTGCAATGTCGATTCCATTTTGTGCCAAATCATCCTGCATATGTTTACTTGTAAATTCAGTACTTGCGGAAGAGGAGGTAATCGATTCGCAACTTCGTACTTTCAATATGTAATATATTAGTTTTGAAATTTTGGAGAATCAACTTTAAATGTTTAAATTTAGAGTCGATATTTCATAATTGTGTTTGGTTTGTTTAATACCTTTTATATTTTTCCTATTCTTACACTACTATTGTATTAATAAAATAATTGAATTAACAAATCTATTTTAAGTATAAAATTGTTGTCTCTATTCTTGAAATAGAGGAAATATTTTGTTAGAAAAGGACAAAGATATTTCTACTTGATGGATTTATATGATTTTGTTTAATTCCACTACAATTAACATGTGATACTACAAATATTCAGTGTGGAAACCTGACCAGCGCTACGACCTTCTCCAGTGACGATCAAACTCCCGACCGTTATTGAGTCTACACCCATATCCCGACACGTGTTTGGCCTCTGAACGAGGCATCAACAGGCGTTGAATAGAGTTTGGGTACAGCTCGGAAGCCCAGTGTTGACTCATCGGCGACCAAACGGCGACTAGAGTGTACACTCGATAACGGTCGGAATTTGATCGTCACTGGAGAAGGTCGTAGCACTGGTCAGGTTTCCACACCGAATATTTGTCTCACATGTTAATTATAACGGAATTAAACAAAATAATATAAATAAATCAAGTAGTGACTTTAAAATAACACCTATATAAAAAAATAAAGGACAAAGATGTTTTCGCAATTTGATAAATAAGGTTTAAAAATGTATAACTTAAAATCTTTTTAAGTTGGAACTATATTACCTCCTATTTTCTTTATATATTTTGATTTCAAAGCATAAGGATGGACGCGTGTGTCCCAGCATTAGGGTTGCCAACTATACTGTTTTTCACTAATTTATACTTTTTACTGTTGATTTAAAATAAAGTATACAAAATACTGTTTTCAGCATTTACTGAAAGAGTTTTTCAGTAATAAATAATATTGTAAAGTTTTGCGAGAAGATGTAAAAGATATATATTTAACACTTAGCTATACATTTTTCTAAAATACTGTTTCGATATTCTTTCCAGACCTGAATATACTTTGTAAAAAAAGTTGGCAAGCCTACCCAGTGTAGTCCAAGGGAATAGCAACGCATAAGTGGTAAAACGGGCGTCAAATTACGTCCGTATTACCGTTCATGTATTGATGGTGACCATTTACCACTAAATAGACTGTCCAGTTTACCGTTCGCCTTAAATTGCTACACTATGCCCATCACCAGTCGTCTACCGCACCATCTCAGCTCATTTTTTATATACATATCTAACTACGCAAAAGCAATCTCATTATAGTATTATATGTATGACTTATGTAGTTATTATTATGTGGTTTCAATGCTGTCGTTCGGAGTATTTTCAATTTGGTGGCATTATATTTGATTTTATAATGATTCATCATTGTTTATGGATGATAGATTTGAAGGATGAGGCGTAGGAAATTTGTATACTGGAATGTCAAATCAATTAGTCTATGGTTTTTCTTTGATGTACCTGTAGTTCTTACTACCAGGGGGTAGGACAGATATTTGACCGCCTCGGTGATTTAGCGGTTTAGCACACCGCACGCCTTACTTCGCGTCGCTAGATCGATTCTCGCACGGCACGAACATTTGTATTCATGAGTATGATTGTTTGTGTCGGTAAATACATACATATTATACATAGAAAACACCCAGTTTTCTATGTATAATATGTATGTATTTATGAAAAAATATGTATCTCTGTATTTGTAACAGTTCAAGCTTTAGCTAGCTTAATTTTGGGTCTAGAGGACGCTGTGTGAATTGTCCTAAGATTAATATTATTGTTTGTCATTCCAGTTCTGCAGAATTTAATTATTTTCATTCTGAAAAGCGTATTTGTGTTAGTTTCTACGTACCCGCAGCTATTACGAATTTAATCTGAACGACAGCAATGAACGATTTTAGAGTAATCATAATTAGTTAGTGATAAGGGAATGCAAACTAACACTTCGTGTGTAAGACAATAAGCTAAATATTAGCCGCTGTAGACTTGTCGCCGCCTGTTTTTGCCTGAAACCCAAAATGTTTTAACATGTCAGTATTGACAAAAACGACCTTTGGTCGTTTTGTTCCACGTTGGGCGCCAGTCGTGCCACGTTGGGCGCCAGTTTCCATATGGTTGTTTAAGAATACGAATGGGATGATGCTATGATATTAACGCTGGCCTCTACTGCTGTATTAGTGAGATATTGGTAATGGTTTGGTTGATAACGTAATCTGGCTTAATATTTGTTCCACGCTTTGCTTCGGTTGGATCGTAGGCTTGCAACTTGTTATCTAACGAGTTGTGTTGTTATTTCTAATATTATAATAATTGATCGAAATTGTAATGTTCTGAATAGTTTAACTTTGTATTTACAGTTTGTTTTACTTTAGTATCGGTTGCGATTAGTTGAAAAGGAAATTTTATAGTCATAATATTACTGTGTGCCATCCCATTCGCTATATAGTACTTAATTTACATCTAGTTGGTAGTTTTAAAAGCAATATATTTGATTAACCCTGTGATTAAAAGTATTACGCGGAAAAGACATGAAGGTTGTGTTGGTGCAATTCTAGGCTAAGTCAGGACATGGTCCTTGCAGTATTAACATATTTTGTACTTAAATTACCTAAAGAGATATATTTAAAACGTCAAAATCTTATCGCCCTATTATTTTTAAGGAAGTGAGCTGCCATTTTAAAACGTCTATTATTATAGATAATGAAAATAGTAACGGAGGCGACACTGAAGTTTTTATAAATTATTTGGATGTTTTTAGATGTACTTATCTATTTTCAATCTAAGTTATTTGACAATAAGGATACTTAATTACTGAATAGGTATACCGGCGGGCCGGTACTTGGGTCATGTCGCGATACTACTCGAAGTTTCCCTCGACTAAATTGTAAGAGAAATTTATCAGAACATTAACGCCAGCATTGAAAACATCTCTTTGAATATGTAAAAAGAGATGGCACATATGTTGCGGCGTATATAACGTTTGATATACATGTCTATCACACATTCCTATAGTATAACAGAGACGGCAATATTCGAGATGTACTCGCGGGTAACGTCGAGAAGTGTCGCGTTCAGGCAAATGCAGGCGGTAAGTAGAGCCAATGCATGCGGTAGCTTGTCGGCAGCATTCCCAGCCAGCCGACTCACTTTATGTAACCCTGACGTGTGGAAAAATAACATACAAGATATAAGGCAATAAACAAAAGAGAAAGTCGGTGTTTAACATACAAGGAAAAATTATTACAACATGAGTCTTTGCCGTTAGTTTCGTAAAATTGCAGACTTGCAGCATTGAGTTTAAAGAGGAATGTTAGGGTATTTTATTGGTTGTCTTCGGGCAACTGAGACTGCAAATTTTGCGTGTGGTCTAAGGTCTGTAGTAGCTATTTATCATCGTATGGACTCTACGCTGGTTTGACACCATATTTCTATTATAAAATAACGTAAAATTCAATATTAGATTTGTAGTCCATATTTTTGGATGACGTCGTCTATTCAACTGCATTTATAGTCTAAGTCAAATGTTCCTTTTAATTTATATTAAGCATATGTAATTAACCCAGTAAATTTTAAAATTAGTAACATGTATTTATTTTATAATAAGCTATATACATGGCATGGTAAATAGTGAAAAGAATATGTTATGTACCATCCACACGTCACGGCTACCAAATGCTAAATCACATGTATACACTACCTACCCTTATGATTATAGCAGTATTGTTAATTTAAGTAGGTTAGAACCTCCTGAGATTATAAGCGCGAGCCGTGTCCATTGCGATTTGGTTTATTTATATTATTTATTCATTAAGCGTCTGACATGTTTTTTTTTGTGTCGGGACCTAGAATAGTCTAGGTAGAGAGGTGACGAAGGTTGATCGGACTTCAAATTGAGAATTAAGTATTTTATTTTCCGTCCGTTGATTTGAGATTAATGAAAGATTATTGTCTATTGTTTGATACCCGCGACTGCACGGCTCTCGCTGCTCACCAATTGACAACACCTTTTGTATATTAGCATTTTTCCTGAATTCTCAGTATTAGATGGTTGATAATGTTATTGTGATGTTTCACGTAGACCCTCCGTCGGCGGCCGCTTTGTATCTTGCCAAATTATTAGAGCAGCGGTAAGCCTAGTTTGATACTTGTACTTAATTTTCTAGTAATTGGATGCCCCATTCGTGATTTGTGCGGTGGGCCGTCGAAGTACTTAACACTTATATATTTTTTTCTAAACCACCCTTGTACGTTACACTGGTTTTAACCCGCTGTCGTCCGTTGTTTAGAGTTGATTTTTGTTTTTGTTTGCAACGGAAGTCGGCTCTAGTTAGTTGTAGTTTTGTATTTAGTGAACTTAGTTGCCCGTACATTGTGTAAGGTGCACTTAGACATACGCGATGTGTCATTACATTACATTTATTATTAGTACCAATAAAAGTGTGTTTTATTTCTGTAGCTAAAGTGGGGTAGATCCTTTTGGGCTGTGGTTATGTACCCTCACCTTAGATGCACGTTATGTTGAGAAGCTGTAGAGTTTTGAGTGTGTTGTTGGGGCCCGGTGGACGCCATTTTGGTGCCCCTGCGGGCGCCCATAACCTCTGGGTGGGGCGAAGATATGGTAAGTTACGAAGAGGCATGTAAAATAGTAGAAACATATAGGTATATTGTGACTAACATGATCTGAACTTTTAGGCAGCATGGTTGGCATGGAATATACGTAAATATGAATTCTTCCAGTACTTCTCTGTCAATTCTCCAGGCATTTGCCACACGTTGGTTGTGAAACGTGCTATTATGATATCTCTTTCAATGATACTTTAATATAGTTTTGCCTCGGCTGTCCGAAATGGCATGGTTCATTCAATTCTACTTAATTTTAGGTACTGACATGCAAATCTAGGCTTATTATTTTATATTCATCCATATATTATGTTTAATTTTATTAGATTGCATTTGCGTATTAATAAAATGCATAGACAATATGTTTAAGAGTTTCTGAATCAAATTAGTTCGGACGTCCGACTCAAAATGCGGCGTAGGGACACACTGAAAGAGATATTTGTGATGTAGACACGTAGTGTAGACCTCTTAGTGTCGCTT